ATTAAAGTGTTATTTATTGCTGGCTTTTGAAACAGAAATAACACAGTAACCAACAATACAGCAAAAAATAATAATAAACAAAAGACAAACAAAAAGTCCATCTCTCCCATTGGAATTTAAAAAAGCCTCTGCTCTGTAAACATCCATGGCAGTATTTCTCTTTTGAAAATAACAAATGGAAATAGAGCGCAAAAGTATTTAATGTTTTCAGTTTGTACTTTATATTACTTTTGGACCTGGGGTAGAGAATTTGGAAACATGGTGAAAAAAAATATTGTTGGTTTTTACTTATGAATAATACTACAACAGGGACAGTAAATAAAGTTAATGAAGTAGCCTATTATTAATATACGACTAATATTAACTTTATTTGTCCCACAGGGGAAACTGTTACTAATGATGGAAATAAACTGAAATATTATTGTAATCAACTGTCATCCATACAAATTCATTTTAATAATCTTTATAATAATTCATATGATTTTACATGTGGCCTGAGAAAATCATGCCTATTATTTTGGATGCGCGTTAAATATCGCATGCGATTTATCGTGCAGCCCTAGAGGAAACCCATAACATCACAGAGTTTAAGTGGTTCTGTACTGAGGAATGAGCTAAAACTAATACAATATGTTGTGCAGGACTGATAAGCAGTTACAAGAAATTTTACCTGCAGTTACTGCTGCAAAATTGGGTCACACCAGATACTGAAAGCAAAGATTCACATACTTTTGCACCGCACAGAAATGTAACACTGGGTCGTTCTTCTCAATAAATAAATGACAAAGAAACTGTTTTTGTCTCATTTGTTTGATTGGGTTCTCTGTCTTTTCTTTCAGGACTTGTGTGAAAATCTGATGATGAATTGGGTCATATTTATGCAGAAATATAGAAAATTGTAAAGGGTTCACAAACTTTCAAGCAGCACTGTATATGGCAAACCAAATATAATCTACTATCAGTTTATGTAGTTATGTCATTTGATGTCTGCAGACTAGTCTCTAACTGTCTGAAGTCTGGCTGTAAACATGTAATCCTGGCTTTAAATCTGTTTAAAGACATACTTTTGCACCGCACAGAAAAGTAACACTGGGTCATTTTTCTCAATAAATAAATGACAATGAAAATATTTTTGTCTCATTGTTCTCTTTGTCTACTTTCAAGACTTGTGCGAAAATCTGATGATGAATTGTGTCATATTTATGCAGAAATATAGAAAATTGTAAAGGGTTCACAAACTTTCAAGCAGCACTGTGTGTGTGTGTGTGTGTGTGTGTGTGTATATATATACAGTGGGTACGGAAAGTATTCAGACCCCCTTAAATTTTTCACTCTTTGT